GCCATGTTTAATGAAAACCTAAAACCCGACCTGACCTCTGAGAGAAACGCCAGGCTTTTCAAAGCCGGTGGAAGCATTTCTTACGATATCGGATTCACAGGACTTGTACCTTCTTCTGCAACATCTCTTTTCTCCTTCAAGGTATGAACTATGAACTACAATTTCTGATTCACTAATCTCCCCCTTATTTCTCTCTTGGCTACATGATTGTGTGTGAAGGTTTCTTTGATTGGAGTATAAGAAAGACCCTCAACTCCCTCGATCGTTTTCTTCTCCACGTTCTTCAACCGTATTCATTCACCTTGATTTCCCACGTTCGTCCTTCTTCGATGCTTAACCTAAACCGCAAAAGCCATCATCCGACTACTTTTTCAACCTCCCAACACGCCATTTACAGGGTTTTTTTAGTTATTGGAGCCGCACAGTCGTCTTCAACCTCGCAGCACGTTCTTAACCTCCCACTTCATTACAGTTTTTTTACATTTACAGTTACCTACATAACCCCCCCCCCCCCCCGACTCATTTGTCCGCCTTTATTCTTTCTTCTCGCGTCTTCTCTTCACTCTTCATTAATCGGTTTCTTTGGTTTCTTGGAGCACAAATCGACCAAAAACGTTTATCATCCTTGATCCACATCAATTTTATTGCTTATAAATATGTGAACCTCCACCTACTTGTATTGTTGATCTTGATGGCGATTGTGGGTTGGGAAATTCGACTAAAGGGCAACTTCAAAAGATGTAATGTGATATCAGGTTAATTTTTAGGGTTCTATGATTAAAATATGTTTGCTTGTAGCATCAGTGGAATTGATTTAGTGAACGGAAGTTTTGATTGTGGTTTTTTCTGGTGTTGTTTGTAGCTAACAGTTCCAGCTTTTTCATTGAACTCAAGAATGAAGGGCACAACCTTTATTTATTTCTCCTGCTTCCAATTAGGTATCAATTTCTCTTTTTCTAACATTCCGATCAATTTGTTCTTCAGTTGACTGATGTGTTCCTTCATCATATCGAGAGCCTCACTCTCTCTTTCTTTCAGTATTGTACTAAATATGAACTTCTCTCAGGTACTCCTATTAATAGTTTTTCTTATCACAATGCATTTTGAGTTTTGAGGATGTTTTCAATGGGATTGAAGAGATACAGAGAAGAGCTTTTGTTATATGTGCACTTATTTTGTCCCACCAAGTGTTGGATAAAAATCCATATTCATTTACTTCCTATGATGTTCAATATTAAGCGTTATATTATTTGATTAAATCTGCAGTTGGCATATAATTGAAGTTGGGCTATCTTTTTTTTTTTTTTTTTTTTTTTTTTTTTTTTTTTTTTTTTTTTTGCATAAAGTGTAAAATCTAAGCTTAATGTTTATTTGTAATGCTGTTACAGGACCAACATCGTTTGCCTACTGTCGTTGAAAAAAGTGGTAGCTAATACCAGGTATTATTAATTAATGCATATGGGCATGTAATTTTTTTTATTAATTATGATAATTTATTCTGTTACATATGTCACAGTTAATCTTTAATTGTATTTTAAGCTAACAAGAAGTGTTGATACTAAATTGGTCTTTTGAGTTAAGAGGAATAGAACTGTACATGCCATTGTTGAAGCAAGGTGATTATATAACAAAGTATTATAATTTATAAGGAGGATGAAAAAGAGTAGCTGGTGTTTGAAGTTTTGTTGATAAAAAGAGTAGCTGGTGTTCCCACTTATAGTCCAATGTGAAAATTGTTGATTTTAAAGTAAGTAATTATCTTCCCTGCATATCTTCTTTTACTTTTGTTATTGATAATTATTCAATTAAATGAGGATATTATCTACTACACATTCATTTTCTCCTTATTCTATACATCTAAAAACAGAATAGAGAGACTTTCAAAGAAGGGATGTCTTTTATGAAAGATGGTTTTGTCGGGGTAATGAATTTCTAATTCATAAGTTCTTTTATTGCTTTAATATGTTTGTTCTTATTAATACTTCAATTATATGCCAAAGCCTCCTTAGAGGGAGTCATCAATTGATGTGTTTTCCACCTTGTAGGTCAGCTTCTAAAGTTGATCTTAAGGTCCTGTTTCAGCCACGTCATTTTTTGAATTACTTTATTTACAAAAACAATGGCCCTGTTTAATTACCTCATTTTCTGAGATAAGTTCTATGTGTTTTAAGCAAATTAATTTACATTGGAGGTAAACATTATGGTCTATATACATACATGAATATATGATTATTTCAACTCAGCAAAACTTGTATTAATTTTAAAAAAAAATTTGTTTCATATAGGTATAACTTGATGGCAAATAGGGTCTCGTTTATTATACACGTTATGCATCGACACATTCATAGACCCTCCACCTGATTCTCTCGATCGTTGGTTCCTAAGCGATGAGTCCTCCTCAATCACCGTTGTTAGCCATGGCTTCCCTGTAAAGCCACCACTGGCAGAAGACTGTCGCACCCTACAGCTACACCGGAGACCTACGACCTCTCAGCTACAGGTTCATTTTTCTTTGTTTGATTAAGTTTTTGTAATTAGGGTTTCAAAACATTTTCGCAAACTGTCTATCTGAAAATCAAAATCACTTAGTTTTTGTTTTTCCTAGGTAAGGACAATTAGTTTATTTGGGGAAGTATGGGGGATTGGTCCAGCAACTGCATTGAAACTGTATGAAAAAGGACACAGAAGTATGGAAAGACGGAGAAGGTGTTTTACTTGGTGTATGTAACAGCCCGGATTCTCAGGTATTATTTATTCTTATATTTTTGGTATTTTGTGAGGAGACTCGGCGAGTTGGAGCTCAAACTCGCCGAGTAGGATCGCGGTTTTGGACGTGGGTTCGTGTCTAGACTCGGCGAGTCCATGCTGTTTAATGAAACCCTAATTCCCCGGGTTTGGAGCCTATTTAAGGGCACTTATAGCCTCCCATTGCGGCTACCAGTCCCTTGAGAGAACCCTAAAAGAGCTAATTCGTTTTGGGAGAGAGGAAGTCACTTTTGAGCCTTTGTATTCCTTGTTTAGCAAGAAGAAGGTGGCAAGAGCAAGGAGGAGGTGAGGTTCCAGTAGATACAGAGTCCAGAGGCTTCATTTTGAAGTAATGGTTCGAATCTCCTTTAGTTTTAGCGTTGATCTTTAGAGTTAGGGTTTTATAACCCCTTTTGAAGAGTGAATATGTGAAGCAAATAGTCCCTCTTCGAGTTTATGCCTTGGATCTAGGCTCAAAGAGGTCCAGAGACCTTAACTCTTGGAGCCTTTTGAGTTATTATGGAGTTATTGGACCTAGGTGGTCACTTTTGGGACCAAATCTCCTTTTGATGCCTTGTGGGGGTTGTACAAGCATCAAGTTTCGAACTTTACGTGACATTCATGCTTGGGAAGGTCAGATCTAGGGTTTGGGAAAGCAGATCTGACCTCAGAAGGTCAATAGAGTTTGTGCATGGCGTGAACTCGCCGAGTTGTTCTTGAGACTCGACGAGTAGGGTTGTGGTTTCACGTAAAGTGTTCAGCGAGTGGACTCGCCGGGTTGGGGGATGACCCAGTGAGTCAGGGAGAGTCAACATTGGGGCTGAGTCAAGCCGGAACTCGAAGATTTGTTCTTGAGACTCGGCAAGTTGAATCGTGGTTGCCCCGCGATTCATGCCAGGTGGAACTCATCGAGTTAGGAAACTACTCGACGTGTCAAGAGAGGATCTGAGGGAGTCAGTGAACGTGTATAGACTCGCCGAGTCGCTTTGGTGCACTCGCCGAGTCCGGTCAAAGTTGACCGTTGACCAGAGTTGACCAGTGTTGATTTGATAGGGTTAGTCAACCTTAGTTGTAAAAGTGTTAACTAGAGATATATTGTGTTATAGGAAGATTATAGCTCAGGGGATCGAGCACGAGTGATTTCAGGGATTTGCGAGTTATCGAGATACACGAGGTGAGTCTTCTCACTATACTTTACCTTGAGTAGGTAACTAGAGTTATGTGATACAGTGTCTGTATGCTATATATGTGTTATGTGTTGCACTGCATTATTCTATGTGATTTATGCTGTGCATGTTTACAGAGTTAGAACCTGAGGGTTCATAGAGTTTGGGTGCACGAACCCACAAAGTTGTAGCCTCGAGTGGCTAATATGTGTTGTGTGTGGTATTTTGGGGAACTCACTAAGCTTTGTGCTTACAGTGTTTGGTGTTATTTGTGTCAGGTACTAGTGACGACCGTGGGAAGGTGCCGGCTTGATCAGTACACACACACGGGATTTTATGTTATGAGATCTTGGGATTCTTGTATGACATGGATTGAATTTCAAACATGGGTGTTTTTACGAATATTAAATGAATTATGTTTTTATAAAATGCAAAAATTTGTTTTGGAATTTACGGTGTTACAGTGTAAGTCTTATGTTTTCCAATATTTCAAAATGTGTTAAAGTCAAATATAAAAAAATGAAAATATTTATTTATGTCAGGTGAATGTTGTGTGTGGAGGATCCTTCAGACGTGGAAAAGCTAGTTGTGGGGATATGGATATTATGATTACACATCCTAATGGAAAAAGGTATCATCTTTACATTAATAATATTACTAGTTGATATAAGAATATGCATTTTTTTTGGCTCACACTTGCCTTCTGTTTCTTTTTGACTTAATGGGAATGATTCGGAAGGCTATATATGTGTTTATTTTTATTTATTACTTGATTCAAATCGAACGACTTAATAGAGAAAGTCCTAACTTTTTATAGATTTCCCCTAGTTTGGTTTTTCCTTCCATTTCCCTAAGTGTGCTTTATTCTTCTTAAATTTTCAATATGATTTCAGCTGCTTTTGGTATTCAAACTAATAAATAATGATTGGTGCTGATTTAGTATGTTAGTTTATAATTTTTATTTTCAGTCATGTAGGGTTTCTACCCAAGGAAAAGTTCTTAGAAGGAAAAGTCATTCTCCTTTTTGTTTTTAAACAATTTCTTTATTAATAATAACTCGCTTTTGTTGACATCAGCATAATGAAAAATCATTCTCGCTGAAAACCGTGGCGGATGGTCAGGTGCTTTTACACTCGGTAAGTTCGTTTTTCTAAATTCTTATAGTTTTTTTAGTCTGAATTTGTTTTTTAATGCTATAGAACTCGGTTAATTCCCGGGCTTTGAGAATCCCATTCCCGTGGTTGGTCTTTAATGAGAAGATCAGCATAATTAAAAGGCGATATAGTGAGTCTATTACCTTTTCTTACTCCATTCCTTTTTGATTCCGTTCCATTTCATGATATGAAACAGGATGGGCACTTGAAAATGTTGGGAGGATACTTGGAGTTCTTCACGGAACCTTCATTGGCTGAACTGTATCACAACTTAATAAAAGATCTTGATGAGTTATTCCAGTATAAAGTAAGTAATGTATCCTCTCTTATTCATTATTACTAAAATAATGATCTGGAACACTTCTTGTATAAAACTATACATAATTGGTGTGTTTTATTATGATTACAATAGTAATCTGAGTTTTTTTTAAATAAATCATTTTTTTGATACTTTTGTTTATGGTAGTGGATTTCCACGTGCAGCTGATGAAAGACCATCACCATTGGTATGTATAGCTTGAGTGCATCTGTGGCTTAATCTTAATAATAATTCTATTTTGTATTATCTTATTGTCAAGTTTGTTTAGTAAGCTTAAGAAGAGTAAACATGGTATCCTTATCTCAGTTGCAGTCAAACCACAAGCTTCCGGGGCCAATTCAGTTGCTGAGACATTTTCTGAATTCAAACACCTTCTTCTTGTGTATAAGTTCAATAGCAAATTTAGTACTTTCTTGTGTATAAGTTCTATTAGAAGACAAACATATTTTTGATCCCTTTGAGATTTATCCATTTGTCTACTATTGGAATGATTATTTGTATGACATTAACTTTTGTGCAATGTATTATATTTTTTGTATATGGTATTTTATTTTCTATTATGAGACATGAAATGGAAATTTAATTTGAAAATTAGTAAATCTATAAATATTTTTTTTAAACATTTAAAATTATGATACGCAAAAATGTGTGTTATCTTCATTTATGACATGGCCTTTCTTGACAGGGTCTTTCTTGATACGCATTGTGTGTCATTAACACGCACGTCGTAAGGTTACGACACGCGAATGCGTGTCATCTTCTTTTATGAAAGGGCCTTTCTTGATATGAATTGCGTGTCGTAAACGCGCGTCGTAAATGAGCATCGTAAATGCACGTCGTCTCTCTTTATGACAGGGCCTTCCTTGACGCGCATTTGCGTGTCGTCTGAGCCCTTTACGACGCGCAGTGAGCATCGTAAAAGGCTGTTTTTCTAGTAGTGCTCGTAAGCCAACTGTGAAGTCTTGCGTCAGGAATCTCTGACAGTTGCTCCAACGACTCCCCGACTATCATTACCACAAACACTTAGTCAAAAATTGATAATTCTTCTTAGGGTAAATGACCATTTTACCCCTGGTCAAAATCAACATTCTGGTCAAAGTCAACATTATGGGTTGAATCAACTTGCCGAGTTGACTTATCAACTCGTCGAATTATTAATCAAAAACCTGAAATCACGATCCAACTCATCGAGTCAATCCTCCTGACTCGTCGAGTTCCCTGGCTACTCATAGTCGGGATTTGGCGAATCAACTCGTCGAGTCTCTTTCTAGACTCGCCAAGTCCTACCTTATACAAAATCGAGACAAAACGTCTCAACTTGTCGAGTCCCTCTCTGAACTCGGCGAGTTCCTCAGTCTGTTTGGGTCATCTCAAAGGATTAAGTCCATACTCTTCAGATCTAAGCTCCATACTTCGTCTACATACCGGAAATGCCCCTTTAAGGGTAAAGTTTCAAGCTTTACCCGCTAATAGTCCTTCTTAATGGGTTTAGCTAAAACCCTAGTTCTCTAGGACATAGATCTTGGTCCAAAAGCCATAATACTCCAAACTAAAGCATACTAACATAGATCTAGGGCTTAGACAACATTTGAACACGTAAAGCTCCTAACTTTATGTTGAGTATTATGTGTTGCGTCATGGACCAGTCTTTTGTATATCCGGTTTGGGCCTGTCCAACCGTGTTTATAAATTAGGGTTACATATTATATATAGTGCATGCATGTATGCCTTAAAAATGACGATAATCATTTTATCTCAGCTGCATTGTAACCCTAAACATCTCTACAGTCGAAGTTCTTAATCGAGCTCTTCTGGGGTGTTCAAGTTAATCATTCGACACGAGTTAACCATTTGTGTGTTCATCAATTTTGAATCTAACGATCTTTAAGTAGTTAATATTCCAACAATTGGTATTGGAGTAGGAGATTGTGTTACTCATACGCATTCCTTCTGTGTGAAGAATTCATTAGGGTTTCCACTTTTATCAAATACATAAAGGCCGTCTTCTACCTGTCGACGGTAACTCTAGTGTTTGATAAAACCCTAATCTCAAGTTTACAAGTCTGATTCTAGCAGATCCAGAGCACAAGAACATCATGTCACACGAAGACTCTCAAAGCAATCCCATCAACATCTCGAATAGTATTGAATCATCCACAAGAGTTCCCATTCTTTACACTCAAGACTATGAAGTGTGGGTGCATCACTTTGAAGATTACGTGGTTGGATCTGAAGACAATGGTTATCTCATCTGGGAGGCTATCACAATCGGTCTGTTCGTTCATGCTGGAACAAGTAGGACAGTAAAGACTCAAAAAGAGTACAATCAACTTTTGGTGGACATAGAAAACTCGCTTAACGAACTCTAACCTAATTGACCAACTCAGCAGGGAGTCATCGAAGAGTGAGGAGAGACGTATGTGGATTGAGCTGAATGAGACGGAGTTAACTAGGGCTAGGGATGAGATTATTTATTTACAGCGAGACAATTTGAAGTTTTTAAAACAAAGAAACATTTTTTGCTTAGTTTCTAAAGGTTTATATATCAATATTACTCAATTGCATTTAGATTGTGAAATAGGGAAAAAGATTCTTAAGATGATCTTACCCTTCCTTGAGCTTATGGCGGATGAGGTCATTGCTGAATGTGAATCCATAATGTCCTCAGAAGAGACTTCTGTCACTTATGAAATTGGTCTGGACAGAATTGAATCTTTCATTGACTCAAAGGAACACAAATGCATGCTTAAAAAGCTCTTAGATGAAAATGATAAGTTGAAAATTAAAACAAAGACCTTACAATCATTTGACTCCTCAAACGCCAAATTAATGACCGAACATAAAATGAATGTAGAAAATACGTCTGAATTTGATGAGGAGAGTGAAATTTCGGTGGAAGATGTAGTTGATTGCTCTGAGTTTTTGAAAAGCGAAACTGAGAAACCCCTTATATCCGAAAATTCAGTTGAATCGCTCGGTCTATTTCGAATCCGAAATTTTAGGGAACCGAAATGAACCGAACGCTCTGCTTATTTCGGCTCCTCATTTTTGGGAACTGAAATGAACTGATGGACTAGTTTATTTAGCTTCAATTATTTAAGGTTTAGGTTCGGCTGTACCTTTTTATACACTTTTTTTTCGTCTGCTATTTTTATTATTTTGTTTTAAAGTTATTTTTTGCTATTTTTTATTATTTTTCAGAAATTGCAAAAATCCAAAAAGATTTTGTTTTACAGAAAATTCGAAATTCCAAAAGATTTTTTTTTCATTTTTCTTGTGTGTGGTTTGTTTGTCTATTTTTCCTTACTAGGTATCAAGTGCACAATCATAATATTAACTCATGAGGGGGCATATATGTCCATTTTACTATAAACTAGCTAGGTGTCCCTAGAAGCATGTTACTGCATGTAGAACAGAGCCTTTTAAAACTTTGTGTGAGGCCTTAATGATTCGATTTGTACATATCATTTTTTCCTAATCAGGCCACCTACATTCACTCAAGTCATGAGCTACCCTACTCTTCACAAATGTGTCAAGCGTTTTCTGCTTTGTCACTCATTTACAGCAGGGGTACTTTATGTTCTTTAACCACCTCATAATATTCTCCATCTACTTTCAGTTCATCAATGTAACCCTTGAGACTCTCATACATTACCACTGAGGTTTATGGTTACACAAAGTCCGTGTTTATGATCTTAGATGCGAACACCACGTGCTAAGTGAGACCCAAAATCCAACACCAATGCTGAATTGACGGTGAATATTTATATTCAAGAACTCACTTGTTACCAAAAGAAGTATCTTTTATTTTTCTTGCGTGATCTTTATGAAATTGTCAAACACCAAGACATTTCTTCCCAGAAGATCCAATTTAGTTTTTGTTTGAGTCTTCTGTTATAAATCCTGTTATTTCAAAACTTTCCAACCTACTTGTTCAACAGACCACATCGGTCTCTCAAGTACTTCTTCTAACGTTCAGTCTTATGCTAAGTATCGAGGTTCGGTTGAAGATTAGCCACCATTTATAACCTATGTTTAAAAAGAAGCCTTTCAATGTTTCTTAGCAAACATTTGATCGTATTCTCACGGGAAACCACACAAGCACTTCAACTCTCTCTTGACTTTGAAGGAAGAGATTCCTGCCCAGGATCCTCTGCTTTATGTCATATTTGACATCACTCACACCCCATACACTTGTTGCTTTATTTCTTATTTGTTGGCACACCAATGCACGAAAATCTTAGTGATTTTCCAAAATTCTGGTTCGTGAAACAAATTAATGGAAGCAATAATGTATTTTGTATCGTGACTTAACACCGTATTGGGGTATTTGAATTTATACGAAGTTACAACGGGTATTTGGATAAGTTCAAGAATGGGAGCGTGAAGTTGAAACGGCTCCTAAACCTTCACCGTATGACGTATATTTGGGGAAAACCAAGATGTCAAATCCCGCTTTTACAGGCGCCTTTTCAGAGATCGTTTCAACATTAAGGCAGATTCTTTTTCTCTCATGGAAATCGTATATATAGGAGTTCTCGCTCTACTGTACCTTTTACCTCACTCCTATTCTCTCAAATACACTGGCAATTTTAAACTGTTCATCTTCTTCACAAGTTTAACAATGGCGAATTCTTCATCTCTTCATGATCAGACTGTGTCGTCGACCCTGCTTTCAGTCAAGCCCAACCAGAATATGATCATTCAGATGACTCCATTCCTGTATGATCCATACATGCTTCAAGTTGTGGAATGTCTCAAGTATTCCCCTCTTGTAATCGCTCTAACACAACTGGAATCCGTTCCAATGTCCTTACTATCTCAAGTATACTCCACAACAACTTACGACAAAATCAAAGAGTGCATCTACTTTCAGATTCATTCTCACAAGGCTTCTATTTCAAAAGATCGATTTTGCTCTCTTCTAGGGCTTGCAGTA